AGATGGAAGAAAGGGAGAACCAGGATAGTTCCCTAGGGCTCCTAAATCTGCAACAATTCCCAGGAAGACATGTTATAGAATGACTATAAAAGGAAAGTATTTAAGATTTACAGAATGATTATGGTATAATTTATAAATGCCAATAAGAGTGAGTTAAAACCTTTTCCTTACCTATTGGCCAATCCAAAAAAAATAAAATAAAATCCTTTTCCTCACCCAGATTTAGCAGAAGCACATCTATCCATGAAACTAGAATATTGCACTGCTTGAATGCATGAAAGCAGCAAAAACTGACCTGAATGATTCCTTGCAATAACAACAGAATTCTTACCTCCCAAGTTTGACAGATCAGCTGTTAAATCTGTAAGGCTAAAATTCCACTGAATCTGATCTAGTGATTAGGGGTGGGCAAATGTTGGTTTTGGTGAAAACTGATACCGGAAAGTAACTAACCAATTTTTTTTTCCTCTTTTTTTCGTGACCAAAACCAATACAAAATCCTTCTATATTTTCGGTATTGGATACCGAAAATTACGGTTTTTATTTTTTTAATTTCGGTATTCACCGAACTTGCTATTGCAGAGTGAAGAAAGGAGAGAGAACATCGGAGATGAAAAAGGAGGAACAGGGGTTGAAAGCAGATAAGATTATGAAGAGAATGGGAGGAAAAATATGATAAGATGATATATAATCTTTTATAGTTGTGAAAAAACCATAAAAATCTGTTGTAGATCGTAAAGAATCGAGATTAGAAGTTGGAAACTTGAAGAGGAGAAGTCTTTAAGAAAGAGCAGATTAAAAATGGAGGCGACGGTGGAGAATAGATGATTTGGGGTTCTATGCTTTTTTATTTCTTTTTCTTTTTTTACTTGTTTTAAATCTTTTGGGCCACAAAAATCATTTGGGCCTAGAAATTGGGCCTTAGTTCGGTTATCTAAAGGCCCTAATCGGTTTTCTGTTAATAAACCCTCAAACCAAAGCTGAACCAAAAAACATATTGGTTAATACCAAAACCAAACTAAAAATACTAAATACCGATTGCACCTACCCGAATCCAAATTTTTGTGTTGGTTATCGGTTATCCATTCGGGTAACCACCCCAATGTCCACCCATACTAGTGATCTAAGGTAATCTCTAGAATTTCCAGCCCCACCATCAGGTCCAAGTTGTGATCCTACTGAACTTGTCACGTCAGTTGTAAAGGCTGTATCAAGTGCAGATGTATCCACTCCCATCCCTGATATGTCTGATGTAGTGAATGGAAAATGGCCGCCTGGTGCTGCTGAGGTGGGACTGACGGGCATATCTGACATAGATGACATGGCAGTGCTAGGGGGAATAGAATGGGCTACATCACTTGCATTGTTGTCCATCGCCAAGCTACAATAAGAAGAAAAGCAGCTATTATCAGCTTAACTCCTATGAAACCAAAGAAAAAAAAAAGGGAAAATCAAAGAGGAGCGAAGAAAGCCAGAACAAGATATATGCAAAATCAAATAGAATGAAGTAGAAACAACAGACGGAATATTAGGTATCTAAGGATTATGGCCCTCAAACAAACTGAGAGGAAAATGACTTTTTTAGCTAACCCCAATTCCCCAACTGGTTTTGGATTAACTGAGTTGGATAGGAGTTCTATTGTAGTGCCATAACCTCAATATAACCAGAGATGTTGTATAAGTAAGATAAGAGGGAAAAGGACTTGGGGCCATCAATTGTTCATTAAGCAACTACATATGATCAAATTGAAATAAATAAACAGATGGCTTGACAACATGAAAATAGGAGATTCAACCTGTAATCAATTAGGAGAATGAAAATAGGTCAAGTCCTCACTCGTTCCCAGAATTCATTTGCATAGGTCGGATATTGCCTGGTGCAGGGACTCCATTGACAACATGACAGCTAGATATTCCACCGCCCATAGGATCAAGATGTGGTTGACCAGGAGCAGGAACCGAAGGCTGTTGCAGCACAGGGTATCCCATTGGCAAATTGTTAACTGCACTGAATAACCAGAACTGAATAATAATGACAATGATATAGAGCATTAAACAACCATAAAACCAACTCTTGCAATGAAAATTCATATTTTAACCATTTCTGATTTTGGTCAGCATTTTCCAGGAATATATTAAATAGCTCTAACTCATGTCTTACCTTGAGACCAGACATTATACAATAATACCATGGCCAACATATGAAACTCTAAGTTTAAAATTCAAGCACCTCCACATAAAAATTCGTCAACTTTCACTTGATTGAATACCTTTTATCTTTTGCAGGCTTGATGGAAGCCATTTAAGCACTCTCCAAAAATATACTAGAGAACCCATATTGATTCCTTTATTATAAAATTTTAATCAGTGCATTTCCATTATCCAGTGTTAAGCCCAAACTTACCAGGCATGGGATGAATCCCGTTCTGTATTGGGGCCAAGGGAGCC